TACTGCAATTTGTAAACATTTTGGCTTGGTGCTCCCCCCTTTAACCCCGTTGCCCTAGGCAATGTCCCGCCATGGGCTTATGGTTAATAAAGATCAGATTTCACACAATGTTTAACACTATATAACTGACAACAATACTCTCTAGGTAATGCTAGCTGTTAGAATTGTGGACGATTTGTTTCACGATTTTTGCTCTCTCATTGACTAGAAGGTGTGTTGAACAAACAAGTCAGATAAACTGGCCTGATGAGCTCATTGACAAGTAGCTCATAATTCACCTTTCCACCTACAGGATACCATCACTGTAGTAGAATGGAGAGTTTGTAAGGTAGGGACTGCTTAGTCTGAGCTTAACCCTTTCATTGATTCGGGCTTCAGGTTGCAAAACTAACCATTGAACCTGTAGGAAAGATCACCCTCATCTAGGCCAGTTTTCAATTGAGATTAGCAGAAAAACGCTCCCTTAATAATAATAATGAGATTATGTTGCTTGAATAAAAATAAAAACAACACCTCCTGCGCTCTATGGCCCAGAGCAAGGGTGGATGGATGGAAACGGAACTTGAAGAAATTCACCACCAATGCATAAAAGGTTGTGCGGCTCTAAACAAGGCTGGGGAAGCCCGACCAGTACTGTAAAGTGAAACCAAATGAAAGCGCACCAACCTTGTGCATTACCTCTGTAAAATTTGATTTTATTGAATTTAAAAATATACTCACAAACAGAGAAGTATAACAAGCGAATAAGATCCTCAACAAAACTCTAGGAATGTGAGACCAGCATGAGTCTTATCATGAGGGAAGACTCTCAAAGTCAGGCTGATGCGTTTCGAAGGGAGTCCCTTGTTATACTTCTCTGTTTGTGAGTATATATTTAAATTCAATAAAACCACATTTTACAGAGGTAATGCGCACGGTTGGTGTGCTTTCTTTTTGTTTCTCTTGAAGAAAAATGTCAATATTTATTTATTCCAGGTACTTATATAGCGCCGTCAATTTCGCAGCACTTTACATATATATTGTACATTCACATCAGTCCCTAACCCTCAAGGAGCGTACAATCTAAGGTCCCTAACTCACATTCATACATACACATACTAGGGACAATTTAGACAGGAGCCAATTAACCTACCAGCATGTCTTTGGAGTGTGGGGGGAAACCGGAGTACCCGGAGGAAACCCACAGGCACAGGGAGAACATGCAAACTCCAGGCAGGTGGTGCTGTGGTTGGGATTTGAACCAACGACCTGAGTACTGCCAGGCAGAAGTGCTAACCATTTAGCCACTGTGCTGCCCCTATATGCAGTGTAGTGACCTTTTATCTATTGAAAAGGGAAAGATTTATTATAGTGTGGAGGGAGTTTTATGTATAGATCTGCCAATATTTGGTCAGCCAAAAGCAAACTATACATCTTCTAGAGCTCATCTTGGATGAGAAGCAAGCAATTACCTGAGAAATGTCTAATGCGAACAGAACTGGTGGAGCTCCATTCATCTCTCCCTTCTTTTTGACACAAAATCAAATGTAAGAAAAGGCGATCAACTCAATGTGTCTAGAATTTAATACATATTAATCTAATAAATAACTATGGGTATTGCAGATGAAGTAAAGGATTTGTCCACATATCACTCTGTTGCAGCCTGTAGAGGATTCATCCTTTGTAGCAAGGCGAGACTATGCCACTGTGTAAAATGGCAGTCTGGCTGGGTTTTGGAGAACAGGTACACTGATGGCACAGGTGTGTGCTGGCTTTATAGTAGAGCCAGGATTAGAGTTTGGGGCCCCACCTTCCCGAAGAGGTCGGTGTGTGTTGAGAGTAGACAGAGAGGTGCATGTCTGCACCGTGCTGTCCAAGACAGGACAGACAGAGGCCCAAGCCTGTGAGAGGCAGAGCAGTGGGGAGCTGCAAGGAAAGACACAGACCTAAAAGCAGCATCTGTGCATGAGCACTGGGATGTGTTAGATGGTCGGGAGGACCAAAGGTACTAAGCCTGAGTGATAAAGCTGCAAACAGAGATAGGAGGCTGAATATTGTTCTTTTGTCATTTTAATGGTGGAAACCCCTGTGTGGGCAACTGATGCCTGGTGTGGAACTTTTCTTTGTCATTTTAAATAAAACGTGGGCTGAAAGAGCCCTAAAAAACACTTCTGGCGTGGAGTAATCTCACTGTTTTGCACTATCAATGAGCTACAAAACCCCCAAGTTGTCACGCCTTAAAGTGGTTCTAAAGACAAAAATGGTATATTTTAAAAATACCAAGTATGTCATACTTACCTGCTCTGTGCAATCCCGATCCTCTTCTTCTCAGGTCCCCTGCTTGCGACCCTGGCCAATTCTCCCGCCAAGTGCCCCATAGCAAGCCACTTGCTATGGGGACACTTGTGCATACTCGCTCCCAAGCTGGCTCTGTGTGTCCATTGACACACAGAGCTCATCTCAGCCCCACCCCCTGCTCTCTCCTCACTGACTGTGATTGACAGAAGAAGGGGCCAATGGCTCCCGCTGTTGTCTCTATCCAAAGAAAAGAAAGCCAAGAGAGCAGTTCACTAGATTGAGGTCTGGCTCTCTTTTTTTTTGGGGGGGGGGAGGTTTTTAACTCAATGCAGAGAAAAATCTTCTGCCTTTAGAACCACTTTCTTTAAAGTCTAATGTTTTTCCATGAGTGTTGCTCTAAAAAAGGTCAGGCAGGTGGAACCTAGAATACCTCTTTAAGGCTGGCCCTACACTACACAAGCTTGTTCTGCTGCTGTAATGTTCTATAACCACACTGTTAGTGATTCTAAAGATAAACTAGTCCCCAGGAATAGAAAAAAATAACTATCAGCACATATACAGACAGATGTATTTATCACACAACATTCAATTTCTCAAATATCTGATCAGCACCAGTAGTCAACATATGCAAACAGAATTATTGCTGGAAAAAAGCAGTATTAAACCCCAAAAAACAAGAAATAACTATATTACAGCTTACTAATTCTTAGATATGATGGCTGCATTCGTTTTCTTTTTAGTCTTTTTTTCTTTATTCTCACCTGTCAGTAATGCCGGTCATAGATGGAGAGATTTTCTTTCCTGCAACCACCATCCCCCCACCCCACCAAGCGAACACAATGATTACTGCTAGTGGCAGTTGATCAACTTGGGTACTTTCAACTTACCCATACATGGTTCGAATCTCAGCTGGTCCGTGTTGAACTGGCTTATAATTGAACTGTCTAAGGCCAGCTTAACCACTTCCCATCCGGCCCATGTACATAAACGGTCAGATGGGGGTAGTGCAGGGGCGGGTTGCCATTCATAAACGGCGCCCCCGCCATATTGGACTGTACACGCTCCCTGGGAGCGTGCGGCACTGTGATCCGGTGCCCACCGTGTCCTCCGGACACAGCGGAACTCCAATCGCTGTACGGGACCTCTGTGTGAGGTCCCGATCATGTGATCACTGGTTGGCCAATCAGTGATCACATGAATATAGTAGGAAGCAAGATGTCACTTCTGACAAAATTGCTTACTACGTGTGAAATCTGTGAATGATCATAGAGATCACATGGTACAAGGCTATTCACATCAGCCTTGTACCATGTGACAAGCTGTGACCAATCACAGCTCACACAGTATTTCTCAATGGCTGCAAGAATGCAGCCAGGGGGAAGGAGAAATGATTGCTTTTACAGCCTTTATGGGTATAAAAGCAATCCGTGTAAAAAAAAAAATATATATATCTCTGCATCACCCCCCACAAGTAGTACAGTGTCACTATGGTGACATTGTACTGCTAGGGTGACAGTATGTTAAAAAAAAAAAATACCAAATAATATAAAAAAAAAAATTAAAATTATACGTTTTTGTGGTTATAAACTAATTTGGGTTTTTTTTTTTTTTTTACTAAAAAGATAACTGAATACATTTTGGCCAAGATTTATGAAGAAAGATTTTTTATTTGCAAAATTGTATAAGAAAAACACTTTTTTTTCAAAATTTTGGGACTTTTTCATTTATATAGCAAAAAAAATTAAAATCCCAGTGGTGAATAAATACCACCAAAGTAAAGTTTTATCTGCCAAAAAAAAAATGCTAAAAAAAATCATATGGGTACAATGTTGCATGACCGCGCAAATGTCATTCAAAGTGTGACAGTGCTGAAAGCTGAAAATTGGCCTGGACAGGAATTGGGTAAAAGTGTCCGAACTGGAAGTGGTTAAGTCTTTTCATTTTCAACACACCAACCCAAAAGAAAAAAAGACTGTTGCTGTAACTCCTTAAAAAGTGTCAGCTGGAGTTTGTCTTTATTGCATTAGTCCATACGTCCATCTAAATCTTGGTGAATCTAATACTACCATCTTCCCAGACTGACAATTCTGTTGTCCAAAGGTGTCTCCATTTGTCCTCCATCCAGAGTGGAGTCCAGAAAGTGTGTTTAGCTGGATTAATGGGTGAAAATTAAGGGGAAAGGCCTAATAATGATCCCCAATGCAGCCACCACATCTAAGGTAAGGATTGGTAAACTGCAATATAATATTTTTGGATTTAATGCCACTTTAGGCATTGCTCTACTGTGCTAATCTCTCATCTAAAGCATGCATCAAATGCTTGCAACCTAGGGCTCTACAGCATCAAGAACTATAAGTTTCAGCATGCCCTTCCAGCCACAGGTAGGAGATATTAACAAATACTGCTCTCTCATCCATGGCCAGGTATCCAGTGCCTTTTTATTTGATGCATGAAGTTCTGGTCTGCCCTACCATGAAGGCTGAGCAAAGTATAGTGTTCTTCAACTCCTGTCTTCTGTACAGATATAGGAAAGTGAGGAGTGAATGACACCATATACACATAGCACCACATCCGTATTATTGAGGGATGTAGTTCCATAATAGCTGAAGTCACAATACATCCAGGCCTGCTTTAAGGAAAACCACCTAGATCTTTATGGTTGCTATCAAACTTCTGATAACCATTGGAAACAGAAGAACTACATTTTATGGGGTGTCTCTTACCTGCCGTGGAATCCTTCCGTGGTACCAAGCATGACTGCGTAAATCTTCACTGCTCAGCTTCAGCTCCTCCTCCAGTTCCTTCTTTAGCTTTTCAGGGGTCCCTCCATCCATAATATAGCGCTCCTTCGAGAACTGAAAGACACAACAGTTGAGTCTCTGTCGCTGCACTGAGATCACCTGGCTACATTCAACACTGCTAACAGGAACTTTCATTTTGTCACTTGTCACATGCTCTGTCACCAGTCCCAAGGTGTGGGTGTAGCATTTCCTAAGCCGGCCTGCTTGTGTGATCAAAGGCCGTCATGCAGGATCGGATCCAGAGAGGCAGCACCTGCACCCATGGATGGCTTACATTCAAAATTCCCATCTGCCCTTTGTACTGAGTTTATGAGGAGCTGCCCACTGCCTCTTATCATTGAAAGCTTGCAGGAGTCATCTACGTCATCTTCAGACAAGTTAAAGCAGAATGTTAGTTTATTAAACTCCATCTTCACACAAGACTTTCATGAACTGCACTGAAATATTTGCCTTTGAAAATGAATTGCTTATACTGTGTAATGATTTCTTTTTCTGTACAGTAATACGTTTGTATTACAATTCCTCCCCATCCCCCTCGCCTGTTAGCTGCTTTTTTTTTTTTACATACATGGAATTTGTTGGCCCTAAAAAATGTTTGCAAGGATATTCAAATTATGAATGAATCTTTAACCACACATACACTTCACATGAACATTAACATTATTACTTCTTTCACAGCCTAAGAAATGTGTTGTCACAGTCACAACATGTTCTGATATTGTGTGAAGGATCTGTATACTGAATGTAAAGCTACAATGTGGTCCTTGGATGCTCACGGACGCGAGCGCTTGTGTTGCGTTTTTTCTTATGACTAAAGTTACAATGTGAATGAGAACCAATCCCTATTCTCAGAGATAGGATCAAAAAGAAATATTTCTTCCTACAAAAAAAATGCAAATAGTTTGTGGTAGCCATATATGTTCTATCATGTACGGGGATGTTTCCTCTGATTTGTAAACATTTTTACAACTCCTTTATAAAATGCATCTTTTACTTCAGGATTTAAAGCAGTATTAAACCCGAAAGCAAACAGTAAATTGCAACTTACCAGTTCTTTGATGTGGTGGCTGTATTAGTTTTCATTTTTTAGGCTTTCTTTCCTTTATTTTCACCACGTGATTCAACCAGTGAGTTGAACAAAAAAAAACCTGACTAGATTCAAGGTGGATGGGGGAATCCTCCCTACTAAGCTACTACATTCTGACAGCGGGGAGATTTTCTTGCTGTGAAAACAGTTGGCGCTATATAAATCCTGTATAATAATAATAATCAGCATTACAGGCTACAGCCTGCAGCGCTGATCGAGCTGGGAAAATCAGACAGCACGGTCATACAGAAGTTGACTGGCAGATTGACTTCTGTTCTGCTTATACATGAAATTAAAATTCATTATTTATTTACTACAGGTACTTATATAGCGCCATCAATTTACACAGCACTTTACATATATATTGTACATTCACATCAGTCCCTAACCCTCAAGGGGCGTACAATCTAAGGTCCCTAACTTACATTCATACATACACAGGACAATTTAGACAGGATCCAATTAACCTACCAGCATGTCTTTGGAGTGTGGGAGGAAATTGGAGTACCCAGAGGAAACCCACGCAGGCACAGGGAGAACATGCAATCTCCAGGCAGGTGGTGTCGTGGTTGGGATTTGAACCAACGGCCCTAGTACTGCCAGGTGGACGTGCTAACCATTTAGCCACTGTGCTGCTCACAAATTCATTCATTCCTTGCTGAACCAGCTGCATTTTAGTCCATGTATATGGCCAGCTTAAAGTCTGTTTTTCAATAGAACAAGCTGTTCTGCAAATGTATCAGTTAGAGTGTTGAGATAAGCAATTTAACACTGACATGGGTACTTACAATGATCAGCTTTTATTTATTCAAGTGAAACCTTTAACCCAAGAGAAAAAAAAATTGTTGGTGTAACTGCAGTGTAAGCTGGAGTTTGGCTTCAATTTGTCAGTGTATCCTGATCTGCCAGTACATCTAACGCTCCCCTCCCCCCAGACTGACAATGCTGCTGTCCAGAGGTGTCTCTTTTGCTCCTTCTTCCATAATAGGGGCACTAGGTGAAAACAGAGGGGGGGGGGGGGGGGGGAGCCTAAAAAATTATTATTGCAGCCAGCACATATACTGATTGGTAAGCTGCAGTACATTACCTTTTTGATTTGGGGTTTAATACACGTTAAAGCTCTACTTCTGATCTAATGGGATTTTCATGTACAACCATCTCTAGGGTTTACAGAGAAAGGCCCAAAAAAGAGAAAATATTCAGTGAGTGGCAGTTGTATGGATGAAAATACCTTGTTGATGTAAGAGGAGAATAGGCAGACTGGTTTGAGATGACAGAACGGCAAAAATAACTAAAATAAACACTCCTTACAACCAAGGTATGCAGAATACCATCTCTGAACACACAGCACACGTCGAACCTTGAAGCAGATGGGCTACAGCAGCAGCAGAAGATCACACTGAGTGCCACTCCTGTCAGCTAGGAACAGGAAACAGAGGCTACAATTCGCACAGGCTCACCAAAATTGGACAACCAAAGATTGGAAAAACATAGCCTGGTCTGATGAGTCTCGATTTCAGCTGCAACATTCAGATGGTAGGGTCAGAATTTGGTGTAAATAACATGAAAGCATGGATCCATTCTGCCTTGTATCGACAGTTCAGGCTGGTGATGGTGGTGTAATGGTGTGGGGGATATTTTCTAGCAAAGTGTACCTAATAAAGGGGCAGGTGAGTGTATATAAAAGCGCTGGATAAATTGATGATGCTATGTAAGTGCCTGTAAAAATAATTGGGCAATGGGACACTAGCTGTCATGGCTTAACCTAAAGTTAGTGGGATATTGACATTGTACTCTTATATTACATCTCATTAATAGTAATTACAATATGTATTATTATTACATAGCAGTTAAATTACTTCATCCTAAAAGCTTGCAGAGTACCTCACTATATAGAAATGTGCATTTCTAATATTTGAACTGTCTTTGCATATTATCTTCAAAGAGAAAGAGAGCGTTCCTTTATTATTTTCATTACTCTTCATGGAGTGTCCTTCGCAGAGAACACTTGCATTAAAAATACAGGATTGGTCTTAGTTGGCTGTTTCTTATTGTGTACAATTCTGTGTAATCAATATCTACATAATTAGAAGAAATCCATATTTATCAATGTATGTAGCATTTAGGACATTTATCTTTGTAGGTCGAGGTCATACAGTTCAATGGCTAAAAAATCAACCATATTTTCTGACCTTGGCATGAGGAAGAATAGGTTTAATGCCAAGCCAGCTGTCTTCTAATTTTGATGTGAGAGTCTTATCAAGACAAGAGCCATCTACTGTTCTTGGCAAAATCTAATACAGGTACAGGGTGGTATTACCATCTGATTTCCAGAGGCAATTCAAGGACACACACATTGTCCTATTGTTAAAATTATTATTATTATTATTATACAGGATTTATATAGTGCCAACAGTTTATACTGAGCTTTACAATATAAGGGTACAATTACAATACAGTTAGATACAGAAGGAATTGGAGGGCCCTACTCATGGAGCTTACAATCTAAAGGGAGGGGGAGGTGGTGCAAAAGGTAATAGCTGCAGGGGATGATCTGATGGAGGTGACTCAAATACAGTTCTTAGGTGGAGGTGGGCTAGGCTTCCCTGAATAATCAAGTTTTCAAGGATCGTCTAAAGGCGGACAGGGCAGAAGCTAACCAGACATACTGGGGCAGGAAGTTCCAGAGGATTGGAGAGGCTCTAGAGAAGTCCCGGAGGCGAGCGTTGGAGATGGTAACAAGGGAACTGGAGAGCAGGAGATCTTGGAAGGAGCAGAGAGGATGGTTTGGGCAATATCTGCAGATGAGGTTGGTAATGTAGCTGGGGGCGATGTTGTGGATGGCCTTGTATGTTGTGGTTAGTATTTTGAATTTTATACATTGGGCTAGTGGAAGCCAGTGAAGAGATTGGCAGAGAGGGGCAGCAGTTACAGTTCGGTTAGTAAGGTGTATTAGTCTAGCAGCAGCATTCATAATAGACTGAAGGGGAGATAGCCTGTGTAGGGGTAGGCCAATGAGGAGGGAGTTGCAGTAGTCAAAGCAGGAAATAACCAAGGAGTGAATGAGCTGTTTTGTGTTGTTCTTAGTCAGCCGGGGGCAAATTCTGGAAATGTTGCGGAGGTTGAGGCATCAAGATTTAACCAGTAATTGGATGTGGGGGCTGAACGAGAGGTGAGAGTCATGAGGAGGAGGAAATATTACAAGCTCAATTTTAGAAAGAGTGAGTTTGAGTAAGTGATGTGACATCCATACGGATATGTCGCTCAGTAAATTTGTGATACGTAAGGAGATTGAGGGGGTGAGTTGAGGAGTTGCAAGCCCATATTCTTTGAACTTACCTAAATTGCTTGTTGGCAGCTGGCCAATTAAACCTACTTTACTGGAGCTCCTGCTTAGTGTCAATCATTCGTCCATTCTACTTCAGGGCCCCCCCCCACCATAACAAAGAAACTACATTCAAGATGAGTGCAGAAAAAAAATGTTTTTTGTAATAAGGTTAATAGTGGACATCTGGTGGTATTTAAATTTTGCTTTAAAAGATTCACATGGAATACTCACATGCAGTGATCAACCCAGAGAAAGATCATGCTATGTTTTATGGTCTTCTGCATACAATTGGCAGTAGTAAGCACTGTAAAAACCCCATGCAGGGTTAATGTCATAATGTGCTGCTATGTACCACATACAATCACATTATGACAGACTTATCTGTAAAGTGGATCCCTCCAGTGGCACGCTGTCACTGCTGGCAGGGCTTCCATCTTCCAGGTTTGCACACTCCGGCTGTTTGAATGGCCGAGCAGCAACAACGTCACTCCTGCACATGTGTACGGAAGCCACAACGCTGGAATGTGCTGTTCATTCAGATCATAGTATGCATGGTTCTGTGACATCACCAGCTACTACAAATGTGCATATCTCCTAAATCAGTGGTTCTCAACCTGTGGGTCGCGACCCCTTTGATGGTCGAACGACCCTTTCACAGGGGTCCCTTAAGACCATCAGAAAACACATATTTCCGATGTGTAAAGAGCAGCTACTGTG